GGCATATAAGGTAGTCATCAATCTCATTATCGGAGAAGGGTATTTAAGGTGATTTTGAGCTGGAACTCCAAATGGGTACTGGGACTCAAACTTCCATTCTCTGCAAGAGCAGCAAATGCACTTAGCCACTGAGCCATCTCTGCAGCACTGAGGAGAGAGGTGATTTGAATATGATTGCCACGTCACTCTTGGCTATCTGAAGTTTAAGAGCCATGTGGCCACACCAGCCTATAGTAAAGCAAAGCCAAAAAGAGGCAATGGGATCCGGAAAATCACCATAATTGTAACAGTATGAGTTTGGCCCAAATGTCAGCTCCAAATCCAGAGCACAAGGCCTGTCTCAGACAAACCAACACCATTAGGCATAAGGAGGGGCAAATCTTCCAAGGAACACTAAGAGACCATTCCCACAGCAATCAGCTAGGCAAACACACAGCTATTTCCCCCACACCCCCCACACACCTATGTTATTGAGCTATTCTGAGGGTGAATTAAAACATGTAAACATGTCTTTCAGTGTCTGGTACATAAATATTTAGTCCCCTACAAGAATTATTTTTATTAAAGTAATGCATTGTAGACACTCAGCATAATTGGATTAGGAAATAGAACCTGAACGTTTCTGGGTTTTATGCTTATATCTATGATCTATACTAAATTAACGTTTGGGTAGTAAACAAGTTATGGATAAATTTTGATTGTTTGCCTCTTGGAGATATCCAGTTGTTATTGGATCCTTAAAAAGGATTTTCTAATTAAATTACCTCATCTTCTATTTTTCCATCTTGATGGTGCTTTCCCACAGAGTTTAAGCTTGGCATTTTATGCCTTTGAGCTGCATTACTTAGAATTTGTTTCACTTCCAAATAATAGCCACAAAGACAATTGCTCCAAGTATGTTAATGACATTACTCCTAAATGACAAACCATCCCAAGCTTGAACAATATCCTTTAGGATCACTGCCTGTGTTTGCTGAATCTCACCTGGCTGGGTTTTGAACTGTGGCATTTTCTAAAGCTGGCTTCTCACTGAAGGTCATGTGACGATTCCTACAGGAACTAGAGAAGGGATGTAGCGTTGAGGACTACCTGTAGGAGTCAAAGGAACCCTATGAAAGCATGATATGTGAGTTCTTGTATTCTCTTCAACAGTTTCTTTATAAAATGCTGGGCAAGGCCAGGAGGCCAGGGCGTTTACAGACGAGAGTTCCCTTGT